GGCTGGGACACAAAGGTCCCTAACAGGAAGGCTGGAAGTTGTCTGATATCCATGTGTTCTTCTTACCCTCATCCTTCACATCTGTCAATCACCAAGTCTTACCAGTTTCTCGTACATATTCCTGAGATCTGACTTCCTCTGTGCCTAACAGAACTGGATGGATCTTGTGCACAAACTATGTAAAATCCAGAGTGTATCACGTTCCTCCATCATTTTCGGTGATTGTCTGCCACTAAAGGCATGAAGCCCGAGTTCCTCATTAGTGTGGCTTATGTTCTAATGTGGTCTAGTGTGCTCTAGACTCTGAGCCTGCTCCTCTCAAACACAGTTCTCATCCTTCTATTTCAGACACTTTACATCCATCAGCCTTTGCTTCACCTCCTCTCCAGCTGCCCTGCTTTGTCCTTTTTGAAAAAGTCTAGCCCAAACTTTGCCTGGAACTGGATATACAGTACAGGATAGCCTGAAACACAGAATCCTCCTGCCTCTGCTACCTAATCGCTGGGATCACCGATGTCCAAAACCATACCCACCCATCCCAGCAATCTTTAGTTAGCGGAAGTGTTGTGAGATATTTGTACACTCTGTGAAGATATATTGCTGGGATTGGTTTAATAAAGTTGAACGGCCGATAGCAAGGCAGGAGCTGTAGGCAGGACTTCTGGGCAGAGAGGGGAAGCAGGAGACTGTAGAGGTGCAGAGGACACACCAACAAAAACTGGAAGGAGTCAGACTTACAGAATGAAAGAAAGGTAAAAAGCCACATGGTAAAACATAGATTAATAAAGCAGGTTAATTTAAGTTATAAGAGCTAGTGGGATAAACCTAAGATAAGGCCGAGCTTTCATAACTAATAAGGAGTCTCCGTCCTTGTCATTATTTGTGAGCTGGCGGCCAAGAAAAAAGCTTGCTACACCAAAGAGCCAGCAAGGCCCTTACAAACTTCCTACGCAAGCTGCTCCATTGTAGGACACCACGCCACGGCTGACACATCTCCTCCACATCAAAGGTCCTCTACAGTCCCCACTCTTCTCACCTGACCACACAGCACCAACTGTTCTTCAAACAGAGCACGTTGCAGTCACCTCCTCCAGGAAGCCTTCCCTAAGTCCTAATTTGTGTCCTCAAAATACCATGAAAACTCATTTTTCCTATTCTATCAAAAGTCATAAATTTGTTTCTGTCTCCGCCTTTATACTATTATCAAGTTTGGGGTCTAGGATTATGTCATACTTTCTTTACCTCTGTTCAGGACCTTTTACAACCTACAGCACCATAGATATCTCTCTCTCTCTCTCTCTCTCTCTCTCTCTCTCTCTCTCTCTCTCTCTCTTTCTCTCTCTCTCTCTGTCTCTCTGTCTCTCTCTCTGTCTCTCTCTCTCTGAGTGTGTGTGTGTGTGTGTGTGTGTAATGTTAGAGGAAATAAATGTGTGTAGTACCTCATACTTGAACATGATGATAAATGACTATGTTACTAATTTGCACACTGACTGGAATTTGGTGTTTTCCCTGCTATATCAGAGCACAGACCTTCCATTCAAAAAAAGAAAATTCACAGCCTCATGAAGGTCCTCAGGAGGATGTCAGAAGGTGTTATCAAGGAGATCACAGCTCCAAGACTGCCAATCCCCTGAAGACCCTGGGACAAGATGAAGTGGGTGGCTGTCACCCTGTCCGGCCGGCTTGGTCTAATGTGTATGCCTGTGCTATAGCTTGTAACAAAAAAAGTTCAAAAAGTTCAGATGAGAAAAGAGGCTTAGACAGGGTCAGACCAAGGTGCTGACAGTGGGCTCAGAGTGGATGTTTTCTCTCCTCTCTAAGACGGCTGTATCCGGACACATGTCAGAGCAGGCAGAGGTTAGTGCAGAAAGCCTTCTCTGAGTGTGTGTCTCTTTTTATGTCCTTTAAGAAACATGTCTGTGCAAAATCACGGTAGTGTCAGGAGCCAGCAGGGGAGGGTGGTGGTGGTGATCACTCTTAGAGGCTCCTGGCAAAGGTATGACCCTATGAAAGATTTATCTGGCTTTACCTTTCTGTTGTACCCTTGAAGGAGCTGGAAAATCCTTCCAGGGTTTCATCATTGTTCTGGAAATCCTTAAGCAGGTTTGTGAAGTTTAGTGACGTCACTTGGCATTAGCCTGCCTGTGTACTGAAACAGAATTCCTCTGACCACCATGAAGGTCCTGTTTTCTATCCACAGACTCTTGGATACAGGAAGCAAGCCTTGGTCAATAACTAATCCTTCTCAGCACGGGCTGTAAGGGCAGTGTCTGCTGTTTCAATCCTTAAGAAGGAATCTATTTCATTTTCTCCTCTGGTAAATAAATATAAAGAATGACCTGCTGCAGAAAAACACAGGAAGAGGTCAGCTGTGGAAAACGACTGCCATAACAATATTTTTGCAGATCCTATCAGTTTCCCTGATACCCACCATGTGGACATGGAAGGACAGATTCCATGAATGTATCACCAATATGATGACTGAAAGCAATAATCTTTAATATGTTAAGTTTGTAGACCCCTCTGAAATCGTGATAAAAATTATGAATTTCTCTGTGTATCAAGAGTGGTGCACAGACTACACAGGTCCATATGGGGTCCACAGCTTTTACCTTCTGATATGTTTCCCTAAAGTGCCTCTGTAACAGACTGTAAGAATACACTGGGCTAGCTCAGCAGGAAAAGAGAATCAGGCCTGAATAGTGGTATTGTCTCTCTTAGTACAAGAGTGAGTGGGCTCAGGTAGACCTTGACTCCAACCACTTCCAGGTTTTAAGTATGTTTTATTCTATTAATGTATTCTATGGGTTATTCTTTAATTGTCTCCCCATGAGAATGTAAGTTCCCCTGGACAGCAGAGGTTTGACTTTCATGTACCTTGGTGCCCCTAAAACTGTGTGGTAGAGAAATATTCAGCAAATAGTATCAAATGAGTAAGTATGACCCTCTTTTTCTCTTGGATAAATCATATACATTTTTTAATTTTTGATATTGTAATACAACTACATTTCTCTCTTCCCTTTCCTCCCTCCAAACTCTACCACCGACCCCCACCACACACACACTTTAAAATTCCTGACCTTTTCCCCCATTATCACATGTATATATATAGACATATATATATGCACATATGTACATGAATATATACTTTCCTAAATATAATCACCTTGCTCCGTATAATGTTACTCGTATGTTGTTTCAGGACTGTTTGGGTACTGACTGACAACCAATTGGTGTGCTCTTCTATAACCATAACTTCACCATCACTGAGTAGTTACATCGGTTTTCAGTACTTGGCATGGTTTTCCTCTTGTTGAGTGGGTCTTAGCTCCAATTAGAGAGTATTTTTACTTATAGTACAACAGTCCACTGTATTTAAAGGATTGTCTTCCACTTACATATTATCTTGAAATTTATAAAATGGCTCTGTTTGGGGGTTTTCTTAACTTTGCTGACTTTAATTATGTACTGTTTTCCTGTTTGTTTGCTTGTGTATTTGTTTGGGTTTTTTATTACTGGTGAGATAACCTTACTATGTAGCCATGTAGCCCAGGCTGACCTCAAATCTGAGATTCTCTTGACTCCGCCTTCTGAGTGCTGGATTTCAGGCATTCACCCTGACTTAGTTAGGGTCACTGTTGCTGTGATGAAACACCATGACCAAAGCACCTTGAGGAGGAAAGGGTTTATTTGGCTTACATGTCATAGTGCATTGAGGGAAGCCATGGCAGGAACTCAAACAGAGTAAAAACCTGGAGGTAAGAGCTGATGGAGAGACCATGGAAGGATGCTGCTTATAGGCTTGCTCAGCCTACATTTTTATAGAATCAAGGACCACCAGCCCAGGGGTGGTACCACCCACAATGGACTCAGCCCTCCCTCAGTAATCGCTAATTAAGAAAATGCCCTATATGACTTCCCTGCAGCCCAATCCTATGGAGGCTTTTTTTTTTTCCTAGTTGAGGTTCTTTCCTCTCAGGTGAAGTTGACATAAAACTGTCCAGCAGACCCCACATCCTCCGCTGTATTCCTTCTTCTACTTTTTCTAGGTTAGTCTGTTTTCTCACACCCTATGACCACCACCCAACCCTTGGTCACTCTGGTTCTAATTACCCTAGGGACCAAACGCAGTCCCCAGCAGTGACTTTCAAACTGAACTGGAGACCATGCAGGGTATTTGGATGAAGACAGAGTTATTACCGTTTTTTTCCAAGTGACTTTGTTGAGGTAGCAAGCACTAAGTGTATTGATACAAATACTGGTTATCGAATATTACTCTAAATGAGCACGCATTTTTGACTGTGGTCAGAGGAGCATGTAGAGTAAGTGAGACATAGAACACTGCAACTGTTTCTTCAGAAGCTTTGCATATGGCATTGGCAGCTTGTTCTCATTTAAATGACTTCACAAACCATTTCCTCAAATAGCTACAAAGTCAATTTTAGCATATATGGGATTATCACAGATTTCTGCGTTTGATGATGAATTAATGAAGTTGAATTTTCTTTTTCTATCTGCATTCCTAGATATAACCAATGGCGGTGGGGATTTTGTTGTTGTTGTTTTGTTTTACTTTTTTTTATTTCATTTGAAGGTTTGTGGTTCAATACACAGCAACATCTTAAAACTGGAACCAATAAATAAGGCTCCAAAAATGTCTGAAAATAAATTATTTAAATTTAGCACCAAGTATATACATTTAACTTTCAGAGTTTCTACTCTGCATTTCCTGCCAGCAAATTGTCTTACCAGGAAAAAAAAAGAGAGAGAGAGAAAGAAAGAAAGAAAGCTGGCAGGGGCCTCACAGAAACAGAAGTTAGTAGTACACACTAAAGCCTATACAAATTTATTACTACTCTTTGGGGGCTTCACGTCTCTCCCTGAGATTGTGGCTTTTAAACACACACACACACACACACACACACACACAATTATTCATAGCACGCATGGCCATGCGGACCATCCCCCAGCATGCACACTCATGCATCTCATGTCACATGGGCTGGTTTGCTGCACATGTGTCATTAATTGTCAAGAATGCTGCTCAGAGTTGGCTGATCGGAAGATAGGCAGCGCAAAGGAACAGGATTTGAGACAGCCCAGGGTTTCCTCTTCAAGTAGGTTTAAAACATTTCTCTCTCTCTCTCTCTCTCTCTCACTAACTTCCTTCCTGTTCTAACTGCCAGTACTCAGAAGTCAGAGTTGAGAGGCAGAGGTACCCGACAGAGACGCCCTGAACGTAAGTTGAATGCCTGAGGTGGGGGAGGCTGCAGGTGGGCGCGCAGAGCGGTGCAGGAAATCTCAGAACCAAGCTCCTGCCCCTGCTAATGAGCTGCTGCTGTTTTTCAGAAGGGTGTTTCTTTAAACCAAACTTCACGATAAGAAAGTGCTAAAGAGATTGCTGGAGCAGAAAAGGGGAAGTCAGAGCTGGGAATGGTAGACTAGCTGGAGGAGGTAGGGCCGAGGACCCTGCTACCAGAATGTTCTAGAGAAGGGCTTTGGGAATACCTGGAATGGGGGGCCACTGGGCTGTTTCCTTGCGTGGCAGGAGCTGGGATTTGGCCAAGCCTAGGAACAGAAAAACTGTACCTCTGCGCTGTGTTGGTGGATGATGGGTTGTGCTGGGGTGGGGCTGTACGGTTTCCTGTTTTTAAGCACACTTTACAGAGACTATTTGAAAAGAGAGGAAAAAAAAAATGTGTTTCAGAGCTGTCAAATACTAAGCCATTAGCAAAAGCGGAGGATTAAATTCCTGCAGTGGGATGGGCAGAAAGATATTCGCACTTACTGCCCAAAACAGTCCTTCACATCAGGGAGAGCCGAAGCAAACCCGGAAGATGCGGGGAAGGTTGTTACAGAGACAGGCTAGGAGACTTTGGGCTCAACTGTGAGTAGGGTCCGTGGCCGCCAGGCTGGCCTGGCTGAACTTTGGCCTCATTAGAAGTGCTTTAGGGATGACTTGACATGCTCTCCTCTCTTATCACTTTGCAGGCAGCCTGTCCTAAAGTCCCTATCTGGGGTAAGTGGTGACATAGGTCTGAGAAACCCTGAGCAAATTTGCAACTGAGGGAGGTAGACTACACTGGCAGGCAGCTCCCCTGACCGTCCTTTCACAGAGACACCAAGAGCCTGCCGAAGTCAGGGGGGAGCGCACATAGAGAAGTTCACTCACATGAGAGCTCCAGAAAAGATCAGTGGTGGCCTGCTGGCTGGAAATTTGTCGCCAGCAGGTGTCAATCATCTTCTCATTTCTTTCTGTGGAAAGAGTGGATCCCTGACAGTTTTAAATATAGCACAAGTTTGGAGACAAAACCAGCTTATTCCTGTGTGAGACCTGTGGGTTTCTGATAGAACAGTGATCCACGCTCCATCCACCCTGCCCAGACTCAGCCGGTGAGGAACAACCATGGCTAGCCAGCCTAAACCTCATGGGCATCTTCCTGCCCTTGGAATTTGGTCCCTCCCCATTTGCCGGAGCACGGGTCTGTCCCTAGGGAGATGTGCCTTGAGCAGTCTCTCGGTTTGGTTTTCACTGGAAGCTCAGAAAAAGAGAGTTATTCTGAGGGGAATTTATGGGAATACAATATGTGCTGAACTTCAGCTAGCAGGAAGGGAGAAGCCCTGTGAGGTGAAAAGCGAGCAGAGAGAAGACAGCCGGCCTTGCCTCAGGGTCTTCTCTGTGCCAAGCTGCTTGGTATTGAGAGACTCAAGATTTTCATCCTGAGCGATGGAGAAGGTTATTATTAAGAACCGGAGGTGTTCTGTAGTTTGACTGAAGTCATGTAGCTGGTACAATAAAAGAACCGATAGCCTTAGAAAACGCCCCCGGAAGAAGTCCCTGACCCCGACCCCCCCCCCCCCCATGCGGAATGCCTTTGTTTGATGTAGGGTGGCATCGCTGCTCTGTTAGGGACTGTGTTGGTGGACGGTGAGCTGGAGTCTCATGAAGACTCTACAGTGGCGGGTTCCAGGTCTTGCTGGCTTCTGGAACATCGGCACTTTCATCCATATAATAAGCTCTTACCAATTTGTCCTTTATTGATAACACTCTGATTTCCTCAGCCAAAGCTGGCTAAAGCTCCACCAGGTCTTCCTTGGGGGGTCTTACAACCTGAGTTCAACTGGTCCTGAAACTGTCTTTGACTTCTAATGCCTCATTCGTTGAAAACCTTGGTGACTATGTTGAGTTACTTGAGTCTAGTTTTTTGATTAGTCGTGGCTTCCAGAGCACAACTGTCTTTGAAGATTAAAGTATTATTTGTGAAAGAAGAGTGTCACATGGTGGGCAGTTGGAGAAGCACTGTAATTCTTATCTCCTCCTGCACCAACCCAGGGCTGGAAGAGCACGCTAGGAATGCAGAGGCAGGGACAGCAGACTGCTTCTCTCAGGAGGGGAAAGGTGAAATTCCGTTTCTGGGAAGTAGCGGCGCACACCTTTAATCCTAGCATTTGGGAGGCCGAGGTTTCTCTGTGAGTTCTAGGTCTGCCAGGGCTACATAGTGAGATCCTGTCTTTAGAAAAAAAAAGGGGAAGGTGGATTTTTGAAAATAGAAAGATAAAGAATTCTGTTTCTAGAACTATGTCCCCTTCTGGACAGATCACAACCTCCATTGCATCATACAAGATGGGTCCCTCTCAGTCACTAGCTTGGATCTTCTCAGCCAGTTTTAGAGTTTGGACTGCCTATGCAGCTGACTGGGTAGAGAGTGGCCTTCCGGCGCCAGGACGGGCCAAATCTTCCATGTTGCTAGAAATGCTGAAGGACTGGAGCTTACTCCAGAAGCAACCAAGAGGCCTTGTGGATGACCTGGGAGATAAGCCGGGGCCTCCTGAGACCAGGCAGCAGTCTCAATTAGCTGTGAGACCTGCAGCTTTCAGAAAGAAGCCAGCTCTCTGCTCTGTGCCCTACTGTGGGAAATCCCCTGCTCCAGCACCACCCCACTCCACCCCACCCCCACACCTCTCCCTTTCTCTACTTGCTACCTCTTCCTTGTAATGACTCAGGCGTGCAGGGTAACACCCTAGCAGGCCCAGCCTTTCAACCTAGTTAAATCTCCCCTGCATTTTCCTCCAGAGCCAGAGGGAGTTTCTCCGTCAATTGCTCTGCATCTACTGACTCATCTTACCATTCAGAGTGAGCGCTGGCTTCAGGCAAGCAAAGACTCAATAAATAAAATCCAAAATTAAATTGTTAATAAGAGGTATTTCAAAAACAATACAGTAGCCATCGTCCTATTTTTACATTCGACTCTACTTATAAACAATCCTCAGAAGTCCCTGATCTTCGGGTCTCCTCCTTAATCCTCAGAAAAAAGACTACAAATTGAGGAGGAAGGGCTGGACTCAGTTTATACCCAGGAGAAGCATTTGGCACTTAGGCAGCTACATACCACAAAACACATAGTGTCAGGGCAAGGAAAGAAATTAATATTTATTGAGCATCTACTGGCCAGTATAGTTCACAACTCACATTTTCTTCAACCTTTCAATGCCAGGAGGGAGAATCAGTTTTCCTACATCACTGGTAGATGTTAAAAGCTTACTTAGAGCTATAAGAAGTTGGTTGCAGAGCCAGGCTTCGAGCTGACCTGACTTTGTCAAAGCCCATGCTTTATCAAACATGAAGGTCGCTTCACTAAATTAGCCAGGGACAGGATTTACTTCCTACAAATGAAGAATCTAATTTATTTTTACGGCCAGCAACTCATGTGAAGCTATATTAATATCCATACATGTGTGTGTTGGCCTGAAGTTCAGTTGTATTTACTATTTTCTGTTTCTGTAACGTGTAGCTCCCTCACAGTGCCTGGTGATTCCTTTCAATAATTCATGAGCTGCACCAAGCATGTAACTGCTAAGTTTTGGTTCACAACAGTTCAGTAACTATCTGCAGCTGTTTTTATGATAATCTTTGTTATGCAAAGGGTTTAGATAAAGAAAAATGATTTACATTTAAGGGGAAAAAGGTAAGTTACATAAAATGTAAAATGTGGCACCTTTCAGAAAGTCACAGGAAATTTAAATAATTAAATGCTGGTATTATTCTCTCCCACACACAAATGAGGTAAGGTAACTGAATAGTAGCTAGGTGTCACACAATTTCAGGCAGGGAGATTCTTGCAGAGACAGGCTAGGGACAGTAGACCATCTAGAGACCATATGCCTTAGTCCCCCATCTCTCAAGATAAGTAAAGTAGAGTCCTCAAGGCTGAAACATGTGCCTAAGAGTTCACTGTGAGGAAGCCAGAACTAACCTCCATGTGTGATGGGGACTGTTCAGTATGGAGATAAACACCCCCAAATCGCACAGATCTAACCACAAGCCACATGCCCATACTTACGAGGCATGGATATCACGTGATGACCTCTGCTTCTGTATATCCAACATCTGGGTGAATAAATACAGTCTTGACTTCGAAGTTCAATCTCAATGATCCAGCAGAGCCTGGGGGGAAGAGCTTCCTCTTTAGCAATTAACCGCACTGCATTCACCAGGAAGTTACAGGTTCAAGGTCATATTTCCAACCTAGAGCTCTTAGGCCATGATAAAGATTACGAAGGGCTTCGGAGTCCATCAATCTATTGACTAAAGGAATAAAGACTTATATCTTGACTCTTTTCCTCTTTGGACTAAAGACCACAATGTTTGTCCTATTTTTGAAGAGTTTCTTATTTTTATATGTATGGATGTTTTGCATGAATGTTTGTGTGTGGACCCCAGTAGCAAGAAGAGGGTGATGGATCTTCCAGAAGTAGAGTTCCAGATGGTTATGAGTTGCCTGGGTGCTGGGAATCAAAACCAGGTCCTCGGCAAGTACAGCCAGTGCTCTTAACAACTGAATCATCTCAGCCCCTGCTTAGCAGTTTTTTTTAAGAGTCCTATCATCTCCCAAAAGATGACGGACCACCAGCTAGGCCTTTTGAGTGTGACTGAAGTTATCATCTTCTGTTCCTTCCCTGGCTCTGACCAGCATGCCAGTATGCTCTGAAGTAAAGGGTTTTGTAAACCGTAGGGGTTAATAGACAAGCCGTAGCCTCCTTTTTACTTAAAAGGTTTTGGCTGAGAGTTGCCTTTTCAGTTATTCTGTGTTTATTACCAAATACTCATCTTTCCACAGTGAACAACTTTGGATCATCTGGTCTCGTATCTTTTTCTTATGCTATAATCATGTCAAATTGTTGTAATATGGCTCTGAAATTCCTGCTTTTATTATACCAATGCCGGACACTGCCCATTGTCCTCCCTCTTCAACATCTTTAAAAAGTCTCCACAGTTTTATGAAATGCTTGTGTTTGCAATGAATTATGAAAATCTAAGTTACATCAGATTTAATAATAAGATGGAAACCCAGATGATGGAGGAATTGATTTGGCAATGGTCACATAGTTAGAAGTTCACAAGTCCTATGGCAGCCTCTCCCTCTCCCTCTCCCTCTCTCCCTCTCTCCCTCCCTCTCTCCTGCCCCCTCACCTCTCCCTCTCCCTCCCCCTCCCTCTCTCCTGCCCCCTCACCTCTCCCTCCCCCTCCCACTCTTTCCCTCTCCTTTTCCTTCCCCCTTTCTCTACTCTTTTCAAGAACTGGAGTCTAAAGGTGAAGAATGACAGCTCTTGCAAGCCAATGAGGTCATCTTGAACTGGTGAATGGGTACCATGTCACCATCTAACAGGCAGGCTTTCGATGAGGACCTGTTAGAACAGGGTGATGCATCCCACAGGTTCTTTCCCATGAACTGGGCCACCCTGGTCCCTGTAAACAGCCTGCTGCTCTATCCGGTGGGTTGTAGACTCTCCACCATACTCATCTGTTAAGCTGTTATGGCCACCAGATGAGAATCTGTCTCTTCTAATTTGTCTTATCTGGCTTGCTCTTTGTCTGTCCTCCTTAAAGCTTGTCCTTAAATTGCCCCCCAAATTACAAGATCCACCCACTGCATCCTTCTTTATTTTTCCTACCAGTTCATTCTATTTTTTCTCTGAACGTTGTTTGGAATATGAGCTGGATTAGTCATTATGTTTTCCCGGCCGCTCTCTGGAGTCTTGGCTGCTGATCTCTGGAGTCTTGGCTTTGAGTGATGTGGTTCAAGTTAGATAAGGGTTATCATAGGAATGGGCCTACATGCTTCCTTTCTGTGTAGGAAATGGACCTGGGCATTGCAATGTGGCTTTGAGAGCTACTCAGGGCTGTGGTGTTTGGCCTGATGTTTTGCTGAAAGATGAAGGAAGAGAATCCTTGTTTCTTTCTCTCCCTTCCTCCATTTCAGTCTTTCCTTCATCCCTTCTCCATACTCACCCCCCAATTTCTCTTTCTTTTGTTCCATTAAATTTGATTTTGTTTGTCTCCACTTACAAATTAATTTTCTTCTTATTGTATTAGTAACATTGAAACACAGAACTATAATCAAATTGGGCCATAAATCTCCTCATTCCTAGAGAATTCCCAGAAGTCCACAATGTCACTCACCATGGATGAGATGTGGTAGATAATGTCTTCTAGGTTTGTGGCTATGAGAAATGAAGGCTTTGCCTGTGGACAAGAAGAGGTCAGAACTTTGCCATCCTGGGCCAGGCATCACCTCTCATTGCCTCCAGCCACACACTGTCGCGTTCACCACTGTGTGACCAGGAACCTCTTAACCGTCAGTTCTCGGTTTTCCCAATGATTCAGTGAGAACTGGACTGTTTTACCTCTTACCTTTTGGGCTCTGAAGATCTAGTATCCACAGATGCTCATCAACACTCACATGAGGATAATTTTACTAGATTCCCTCCACAATTTTGTCTACACAAGTCAAGTTAGAGTAGATAATGATTAGAGAAGGAATGTCCCATGGTCCACCCAGAGGAGACCTTGTAGATAACACTATTATACAGTTCTGTCACATATAAACTTCGTGCTCAAAAGTCATGCCATCAAGTTGAAAATTTTTTTGTAAAACAAATTTCATAATCTTTTAATTAAGTGTATGATTCTCTGTTAGGCCACACTCAGAGCTAACCTGCAGTGGATAGAGAGCATAAGGTCACTAGACATCTAGAAAAATACTGCAAGGACTCAAAGAAAAGGGAAGGTTGACAGATGACCCCCTAATAACAAATCTGCACTTAGGATTTTGCCTAGAGGAATGTGAGTCCTTTGCTGTTTGGTGGCATGTCAAAAGAACACAGGACACAGAGTGAAATGAATACTCAATGAAAACAAAATGCAGAGCTGCACAAGTGTTACGGGGTTGGGGTGGGAACTCAAGGAAAACCTAGGACCCAGTGTCTGCCCTTAAGCCATGATAAGCAGTGTGTGATGGGAACCATTCATATATCCCAGGCAAGTGTCAGAGGTCTGTGTTTCTCTGGGTGTCATCTTTGAGGTCTTGCAAGTATTCAAGGAAAGAATAAGTTCATGAGAAGAAACCAACCATTTGACCAGAGATGCTCTACCTGTATATAAGTCACCATAACTCAGACTGTAATCAGGGGACAGCAATGGAGCAAAGAAAGCTAAAATTATTGGTCACTCGGACTATTTGGTATGTTTCTTCACTATCGTGTACTGTTCGCAGTGAGCTATTTATTGCTATAGTTTTATTTCTAAAAAGGAAAATTAAGACAAGTCAGAGAAATGACTGGAAAGAGTATATATTTCAAGAAATGTGTTGAGGAACAATTTGAAGATCACTGATGAGTACAGATCTCCAGTAAGGCAAGGGTGGCACCAATAGTAAGTCAAGTGGCTAATGGACCATCTTCCTGTCTCTAACATCAAGAGGAATCAAGATGACTGAGAAGGACGTACAGCCACAGCTGGACGAGGGGGACGATGACCTGGACAGCAAGCTCAATTACAAGCCACCCCCTCAGAAGTCCCTGAAGGAGCTGCAGGAGATGGATAAAGACGACGAGAGTCTAACCAAGTACAAGAAAACGCTGCTGGGGGATGTTCCTGTGATAGCGGGTATGTGTGCACGGGGAGGGGTCGGGGCAAGGCCTCCAGGGGGACACGATTGCTGTCACCCACAGTCAGAAGCAGAGGCTACACGGGTAGGAGGGTGAGGCACAATTTATACATGCAGCTTAAGGTCGTGGGCTGTATAACTAAGTCTTCTTTGGAGACTGTGTGAGAGTCAGAGGTAAGGCAGACAAAAATTACCCACAGGGAGCACTTAGAATTTCAGACCACAACTACACTGTATTCTGGTCTCCATCAGCCCCTAAGTTTTTTTCTCTTTCTTGTATGTTTCTTAACTATTCCTCTCTCTCTCTCTCTCTCTCTCTCTCTCTCTCTCTCTCTCTCTCTCTCTCTCTCTCTTTGTTTGTGTGTGTGTGTCTGTCTCTGACACACACACACACACACACACACACACACACACACACACACACACACACAGCCAGAACAAGACATGGCGACAAGGCCTGAATAGACAATGTCTCAGTATTTGAGACTTACAATTAAGATGAGTCTGAGTCTTAGTTAGCAACTTGAGAGAAAAGGGTTTATTCGTTTGGCTTATGCTTCCACAATCACAGTCCATCACTGAAGGAAGTCAGGCCAGGAGCTCAGGGCAGGAACCTGGAGGCAGGAGCCAATGCAGAAGCCATGCAGGGGTGCAGCTTTCTGGAGGCAGGAGCCAATGCAGAAGCCATGCAGGGGTGCAGCTTTCTGGCTTGCTCGCCATGGTTTGCTCCGCCTGCTTTCTTTTTTCTCTCTTTTCCTTTTTCTTTTTTTGTGTTTTTTTCAAGACAGGGTTTCACTGTGTAGCCCTGGATGTCCTGGAACTCCCTCTGTAGACCAGGCTGGCCTCGAACTCGCAGAGATCTGCCTGCCTCTGCCTCCCAAGTGCTGAGATTAAAGGTGTGCGCCACCACCAGCAGCAGCCTCAGCCTGCTTTCTTATAGCACCCGGGATACCAGCCCAGGGGAAACACCGTAACAAGTTAGACCCTCTCCAACATTAATCAATCAAGAAAATGCACCATTGGCTTGCCTGTATGCCAGTCTGGTGGCGGCACTTTCTCAAGCAAGGGTTTCTCTTCCAAAATGACTCTAGTTCCTGTCAACTTGATACAAAAGTATCCAACACAGTCAGCAAATCCCTGAATTAGAAAATCACAGCTCTGCCATTTCTATAGAGATCAATACCAAGCATAGTGAACCTGCCGTTTTGTTTCTAATGCTACTCCACATAGAGAAGTTATTTTCTCTTTATGTTCTCTTCCCTCGTTCACAACTCGAAACACACATACACACACACGCGCGCGCGCGCATGCACACACACACACACACACACACACACACACACACACACACACACACACCCTTTCCCTGTACTTACATTTTCTCTTTAACCCTGCAGACCCAACAGTCCCCAATGTGACTGTTACCCGGCTTAGCCTTGTTTGTGACAGTGCACCAGGACCAATCACCATGGACCTTACTGGTAAGTGAACACATCTCTACTGTTCAGAGGGGTCTAAGACATTACAGGGAAAACTTGATCTTCGTTCTCAGGCTCCGCTGGAGAAAACCATTAAGGTGGCGCTTGGAAACGTATATGCTGGGATCAGTCTACAAACCATTTGCACTCTGAGTGTCCACTGCTTGCCACTTAATGAAAAATCCAGCCCCAGACTCCATGTAATGGAACAGTTGAGAGCTAGACACCTTTTGTGTGTATACGCATGTGTGTCCATGCTTGTGGAGGCCAGAAGTCAGCCTCAGGTGCCAGTCCTCACAATCTCTCACCTGGGCTAGTCTGTCTGGCCAGTGAGCCCTAGGGAAGGGATCTACCTGTCTTCATCTCTCCAGAGCTAGAATGCCCAGCTTTCTTTATTTGGAGAGATTATTTGTTTCTGAAAATTTTTAACATGGGTTCAGGAGGTCAAAGTCAGGTCCTCAGGCTTGTATGGCAAGTACTTCCCTGGCGTAGCTATCTCCCCAGCCTCCATGCATTCACTTTTGATGTGTTTACTTGTACAATATTTACTTCAGATCTGTGTTTCCACATGGAGGAAGAAGCGGCTGTTCTTGTAGGAGAGACTGCAGATGGCAATTCTGACACATGCTGTGCACTTCTAGACGTACAGCACTTATATATCTGAACACCAGCAAAAGCTCCAATCCTCCCCCAGCTATAGCCTTAGCTGAAGGGGAGAAACATCCCAAGACCTCCCGAACACCGATAGATACTCCCCTGCTCAACACACTCAAAGCTCAAAGCTCCATGCCATAAACAATTTCTCCTACCAAAAAGAAAAAACAAAACCACAGTGTTTCTTTCACCCTTTGTGACTAACAGCCCAGCACTCTCCTTAGGCAGGTCTAGAGGAGATGGTCATTGACTGGGAAGGTGGACTTCATGGGAAAACAGGCATCTGCCGGGGGGTGAGAAGAGGCTCATGAAGCCAAATGGGGCATCAAAGGTGGATCTGGAGAGGAAAATCAGCTGCCAATTCAAAGTTTCACTGAAGTACAGGAAAGCACAGCTCTGGGCTGTACGTCTAGCACAGGAACTTCCCTCTCACAGAACATGTGCATTTTACCTTATATGGACTTTTCTGTCAGAGGGAGGAAATCAGGGCCTGAGAGGACAGGCTTCCTGTTCAACCGAATTCAGCAGAGCAGACACCACACACACACACACACACACACACACACACACACACACACACACACTCATAGCCCCACGTTGCAGCATCTCTCCAGGACAGAAACAGGCTCTCTCACCCAGACTCAGCCCTGTCCTGCGGCCAGGTACAACTGCCAGGTTGCAAGAGTAGGTGTGACGGTGCTGAGGACACATCCAGAAGAGAGTGAGAACACGGCACGAAAGCCTGCTCTTTCAAAATCCACATTTGGTTTCTGTCCTAGGGAAGCTGCTGAGATGAAGCCATGTAATAGTGTTTGTGAAGTAAAATACTTACTCAAAGTTGTGTGAAACACACACATGTGCATACAGACACACATATACACACACACAAACACACATACATACATATGCACACACATACACACACAGTGACACACACATACCTATAAATATACACATATGCACGCACACACACATATATACATAAGCACACACACAGAGACACACACGTACATACACATACACACATATGCACACATACATACATGCACACACAACTGAACTATACAGAAGTGTATAAAGTATATATATTATATAAAGTATAATAACCTCCCTAAGCAGGACCCAGGATTTAAAGACAGCTCTCAGGATTATGAACCCTAAAGCTGTTACAATTTAAATGATCTTCCTTACAGAAAATAGTGTGATATGACATTCCAAATGCAAGTCCAATAACTTCGAAGTGAGAACCTAATTAAATAATTATAAAAGTCAAAAGCAGTTTTTAAAGCTAGAATATGCCATATATTACCAATTGGTAATAATAATGATATCAATGATATGAATCAATGGAGGGAAAGCCTATTGAAAGCTTATCAATCTTATGAACACCAATAGCTGTTGTTCTTGTATCTATTTCCTCATATTTCTTTGAGAAGCCATCATATCTTTATCTGACTATGGATGTGCATGAAGTTTTCAATAGAAAGAATATTAACTAACTTTCCTCTAAGACGGCCAGTTAATTGATACTTTGTTGTTACTGGCAATAATAAAAAATATTTACCTTCATCAGGACTAATTGGAAGTTATGGGAAAAAAGGGATTTATCTTTATAACTACAACTAATTATAAAGCTTGTGTGTTTTGGGCATTGACATCAAACTTGCAGGAAAACCCTTTACCATGTTTCTATGTTCTTTTTAAATAACTGAACTATAAGATTCTAGGCAGTATAGGTGTGTGTGTGTGTGTGTGTGTGTGTGTGTGTGTGTGTGTGTGTGTGAACACTAATCTCAAATGCTATCTGAGTGAAGATCCTTATGAATCATGCAGCCCAGATGGGCCCAGCAGAGGACTCTGAACCTTGGTTTTCATTCTTTATGTAGCAGCTCCTGAGGATATTAACTTTCTAAATCCTCTCCTATAGGTGACCTCGAAGCCCTCAAAAAGGAAACATTTGTGTTAAAGGAGGGTATTGAATATAGGGTCAAAATTAACTTCAAAGTAAGTATCTCCCCCATGTGCTCTTAACTTTCCCATAATGCATTTCTTGCACTATTGCGCTGGGATTCTCTGGTTCTCACTATTGTTTTTGGTGGCGGTTGTTGCTGTCCTGACTTCCCAGCTTGGGTCTGAAACAATCTGTGCCCACCTCTCAGCTCTTCCCGTGGAGATCCACCCTTGCTTCCCACCTTTCTCCAGTCAGGACATCTCAGCCTCTCCCTCCATCACCCCACACTCCCTCAGAACGCCTGACGCTTACATCCACGAGGCACACACTACTGTGTACTGTGCCATTTCCTCCTTATGGAACCTGAGCAACCAGAGGCCTGCTAAAATCATGTGCCCCTTCCTTCCACCATCTCACACAGCTTTGTAAATGGTGGATCTTTATGGACACATCCTAGAAATAAATGGTTCAGCAAAAAGGAAAAGAAAGCAAGATACTCCAACTGCTCGATTATCACTCAGATCCAGGAACCATGGTCTTTTCAGAGTGGCTAGGAATTTCAGTGACATTTGTAAAGCAGGTGAGCAGATAATGTAGCAAAACTAAACAAGGAGTAAGCTGACAGCTCATGAATAGGCACACATCCCAGTGAGTAACGACAGTTCCCAGAAAAATAACCTTGACTTTGAAAGCAAATAAGTGAGAGATGCACTGCTTTGCATTCCGGGGTTTGTTTGCTTGGGCTGCCACTCATTGCCACCCAGTCATGTTCTCCGGGCTCCACCAGGGGAGACTCCATCTGCTCTCTCTGTTTGCACACTGGGCCCACCTTTCCCCTGGGTGCAGGATATGATTCAAGGTGGCTAGACAGTCACTCTCTACCACATGCTAAAATGCCTAATGTCTTTCCATCCTGTAAATGTTGGTTGACACCTACACAACCATCGCTTGAACTGTGGATGGCATGGCTTCCTGTCATACTACTCATTGCTAGAGCATCTGGGCTGCTGGTGGAGCCTCCTACCTGAAACCCATGGAACAGTTCCCGTCCGTCCAGGATTGAACCAGTTGCACTACTGTGCTGCTAGTTTAGAAAACTTGGGTTTGCAAATGAAACCCAACCGGGCGATTTTGACTGACTAAGGAGGCTAAGGGAGGTCACTGACTATGCGTGAGTGTAGAGCTGTCAGCGTTGTGGATCGAGGCATTTTCGAGTCCAATCCACTTCTGAGGTTTGCCCCAGTCTCCATCAAGATTAAGACCACTCTATCTGTAACTCAAGCTAAGGTGAGTCAGCCTATAGCTTGTCCCAGCTTGGAGCTACTGTTAGAAGGAACCCAGATCAGAGTAAAGAGTAATTAAAACGCAATTTAAATCTTTACTGACATTTCTTGGCAAACATTCAAAGAAATCAAATTTATAATACCAGTTACCTACAACCTTCCAGCATTCTGTTCCTCTCATGTTCTTTTTCTTATCCTGAAGTTGCCAACGCCCTAGAACCCTGACCTAGGGTGATTCCTTGGGTCTACACCCCATCCTCTGCCTCTTAGGGACATGAAGTCCTCCTGACTGCCACAGCCTCCAGTGTCATTCTTGTGCTTTGGGAGTTGGGAGAGCCAGTGGAGAGGCATGGGCAGAAGAGGATATTATATAAATATTCATCTTTTTCTGCCCTTGGTATGTTTCTATGAAGTGGTTCCTCTGTGGAGCACTGCTCCCACAGCAGATGCCTTCTTTTGAAATTCTTATTACTGCTTTTCCTGTTGTGTGGTCTCATCCCACCTGAACTGAACACGCAGGCCACTGGGCCCAAGGGGCGGGCTGAAGACTTGTATAAAACACATTCGTTTCTCCCATTTCTATGAGCTAGATAGATGTGAGAGTGATTGGGAAACGTGGGCTTCACTCTATCAACCATCTCTCCAGTAGATTCTGGCTGCTCTTGGTTGCTTTATCACACGTGCTAACCTAGACAGTGTGGAATCTGAGCTGACAATGTTCATTGTTGGTCTTTTTCACCTTCAGGAGGGTGAAGGACAGCCCTGGCAGTTTGGTTGTTAACTGTTGTATCCACCATATGTACCAAGAGACAAACTATTAACAGGGGAAATTATCGTAGGTGCTTTAATTTTTCTGCTGTTGAAAGTTTCCCAAGCCCTTCAGCTCATGACTCAGTGTCCTCTTTGACTTGTTTATGTAGACATGACCACGGTGAAAAGCTCACAGAGAGCCCAGTTCAGGCCCAGGTACAGTGAGTCATGGAAAACAAAATGCTGGACTGCCTACAGCGCCATCCCATCCGAGTGGATTTTCATTGAGAATCTAGGGAAAGCAGCAGTATCTTAGATAATGTCCAGTGGCGAGAAGCTGAGTGGGCTTGCCGGGTACCAGCAGACTTCATCCATATTTATGGGGAAGGGTGTTTTGGTGTGACATAGCTTTACCTCTAGGTTCCAGTCTCACTTCCACAGCCCTCTCCCAGGCCTGACTTTCCATTACCACTCCTCTCTCTGCTGTTTGTCTTTCACAGACGAGGTGGATCATTTCTGGGGATATGGTGTCTGCAGACTTACATAAAATTTTCCATTGGTATTTTTATAACCTTCTCTGAGACAGGGGCAGTGTTTTTGCTAGTATATTAAGGAGAGAGAGCTAGAAATGATTGCCCAAGCCACTAAAGAAGGAGAAAATGGTGAAGAATATTGAGACCCTCCCCAAAAGCAATTACATTGAGAAATATTACGGCAGTCAGTGATTACACCTGCATTGGCAACATTAAGTCTTGTGATTGAGTATCTCCAATTTCTAAGAGTAACACACTGAATTATTACAGAAGCACTTGATCTGTTTAGCTAGAAGAGGAAAGATTTTTTTTAAAAAAAACTGAAAATCTTTAATCTGAATTTCTTGGGGTCTTCTCACCTACAGGTGAACAAGGATATTGTGTCCGGCCTGAAGTATGTTCAGCACACGTATCGGACTGGGATGAAAGGTAGGAGAGTGTCCCATGCTTCTCACTGGTATTTCTGTCCCAGGTGTTGAACAACCTTTGGTTTTAAGCTTACAAGAGCTGGATGAAAGGTATCGGTAGATGGCAGGTCCACTCTAGGAAAACATACACAGGTACATCAGACCTAGACACTGAGACCAGCATTCAGGATGCCAGGTTCACATAAGGCAAGCCACTGGCCTTCAACATTCAGAATCTGGAATCCAAGTCTGTTACTCATTCATACATGAGGAGAGTAACCAAGATAAACTGAAGCAAAAGTCATCAACAGTGAAGAAATGGAAGAAATAACCCAGTCAGTGAAATGCTTGCATGAAGACCCAGGTCTGAGGCCCCAGAACCCCCAGAAGCAAGTCAGTATGGTGGCATGCATTTGTAATCCCCTCCTGGAAAGGCAGAGACTGGGAGATCCCTGGGCATCATGGCCAACATAGATTCATTGGTGAGTTCCAGACCAGTGAGAAGGCCCCATCTCAAAAAAACCAAGGAAGGTATTACCTGGGAAGAACATCTGAGGTCAACTTCTGCCCTACGCCCCCCCCACACGTACCCCCCCCCACACACACACACACTCAAACACACACCACACACTCATACACACACCACACACCCATACACACACACATACCCATACATACACACACATACACACACACACACTCATACACACACCACACATTCATACACACACCACACACTCATACACACACCACACACCCATACACACACCTAATATTCAAAAGCATAAGCAGTCTACAGTGTAAAACCATGACAGAAAGACAAGAAAGACCTGCCCAAGGCCTATGTGCTGGGGTGAGCTCCAGGGACTCCATCGGGAGGAGGAGCAGAGTGACAGTGTATTGGAGCAAGCCTCGGGGTACCATGGGGAGGAGGGACAGAGAGGTAGTGTGTTGGGGTGGCACCACAGGTACCATGGGGAGGACAGGCAGAGAGGCAGTGTCTTGGGGTGGTATCCGGAGTGCCATGGGGAAGAGAGACAGAGAGGCAGTGTTTGATCTCTTAACAAAGAAATGGGAATACAATCCTTTCTAGGGCTGAGAAAAAGCAGTGTCATTGAAATGTAGACCCCCATAGTCCTTCCGCTGTCATTCTGGACATTCGTGGGGCAGGAACGTAACCCAGACACTTCTACACTCCTTCCTGACCTGCCTTACTTTCTGCACCAAACCTGAGCACAAGACAACTTAGCCCAGTCCCCCAAATCAACAAAGGAGCCCGGAGAAATTATTCTTTGATATGACTTCGGGACAGAAAAATCACTCTATCAAATTCCAGAGACGATTGCAGACGTGAGAAGCCCTGATTGGCCTTGCATTATAATCCCTGGTCTCAAGAAAACCCAGCTCAATTTCCTATTTCCTTTGAGCCCAGAGGCTGCGCTGACTCACTGAATGCGCAGCTGCCTCCGACTGTGCAGCAGTCAACAGGCCAGCTGCACCCTCCCCACAGCCACTCACTGCCATTTAACCTTCTCAGCCCGGGCGGGCATTCTGAACCCACACCCCAGCAGTCCTCTCAAAAGCGAGGTCGGTTGACTGTTTCCACCATTTGTTCCAATTCCCCACTTTTAAACTCCTGACCAACTTGCTGATTCTCCTCCCATCTAACATTTGAATTCCTAAATTCTACCTATTCTGATCACCGGATGTTGCAGCAGCCCCCTCCAACTAGGATTTTCTTAGAATGACAAGGGGTCTTTAAAGTCCATGATATAGAGAAAGAAAGAAGGACCCAAGTGCTGCAGAGCTTGGACAGCTATGAGGGAGACTGAGGCCCGACTGTCTGTCCATTTTTAATGGAGCAATCTGCTGTAGCTCTGTAAAGAGGCTTCAGCCCCACTGATTTAAGTCACTAATACTCTACCTTAATAATCGGAATCAACTCTGATACTTTTTTTAAAGACTTATTTTTGGCATCCACAGGTTACTGAACCTCGGTCCCCATTATGGGGAAATGGCAACATAAATCGCATTTTCTTAAAGGAATTTTGTTTTTTAAAATGCTCTAATATATCTGCCTCGGGGGATTATTTGGTCTTTGAGACAAGATCTCGTATTCGTGCAGCCAAACCTGCTCTTAAGTTCCTGCCCCAGCTTCCTTGGTGCCGGAAATGGAATCATGCGCACCTGGCTTAGTAGAAAAAAAAATTAAGAAAAAAAAATGCCCCAGGGAAAACTGATGTTTGTCCAGGCTCGGGCACCGTTGCCTTGGGCTTCCAGCCATGTAAGCTGCACTCCAGGCTCTCTCGCTTTTAGTATGCCTTTCCTACACCAGAGTCTTAACACTAACGGACCTTTCTTTCTTCCTAGTGGACAAAGCTACATTCATGGTTGGCAGCTACGGCCCCCGACCAGAGGAGTATGAGTTCCTCACTCCAGTAGAGGAGGCTCCCAAGGGCATGCTGGCCCGAGGCACTTACCACAACAAGTCCTTCTTCACTGATGACGACAAGCAGGACCACCTCACCTGGGAATGGAACCTGGCCATTAAGAAGGATTGGACAGAATGAGGCATCTGTCTATCCCTCCCTCTACTACTTCCCCACCAGAAGAATCCTTCCTGCCACGTCGGTCATGTTCTCCCTCTCCCCTCCCTGTTCACAGCTGGATCCCTTCTCTATCACACACACACACACACACACACACACACACACACACACACACACACACACGCACACACACACAGTCTCCTCACTAATGTGTTTTATATTACCCCATCTCTTAAGGTGTTCTCTGCACATGAGACTTAAAACCGAGGCTTTAACCCAGCTTGTTCTCTCAGACTTTCTCCTCCTCAGCAGGGCCAGAGTTCCGAAGTTCTCCATCTCATTTAGCATTACTCTCTTTTCTCCCAATCTGAGTACCGAAGGCCAGAAAATGGGCAAGCTATATCATTAATGGCTCCCTTGCCTTCTGTTCAGAAATTCATCCTTGCCACTGGGTTCTTCTGGGTCAACGAATCCCGCCATCACCTTCCCTGCCAGTAGGGGCTCTTCTTTTGGGGGAAACACTGTAAACAAGACGTAAGGAAAAGAATAAAATAACTGTATGTGTGACTGAGGACCTCTTTTCCCCTCCTTTTTCCCTCAAACAAACATGGTACCAGAAGCTCACATTTTGAGTCGTCTTACGGATGGGGGTATGGGTAAGATCCACAGTACAGGGGATGTACAGATCCTTGCCAACAGGTTGTTACATTATAACGATCAGTGAGTGCTAGTAATACAGAGATTGAACATTCTAAATTTCATTTATTGTATAATATTTTCTTAGGGGACCTTCATCTAAGATTGAGATGTACACCCCACTACCTCTCATCTTAGACTTGATTTGTGGGCCAGATCGAACTCTGACTCCTGCTTGGGACTCTTCCATGGGCTCTCAACATCTACTGAATGAAGTAGAACCCTCTTTGCTAGTTTAGTCTATTCCATAAATGCCTTTTGCAAGATGGCCCCGACATCTATCATTCTATTCCTTTCCGTAATTCTCAGTGAGTAATATTCGCACACTTTCTATTTTCATGTCTGGATTTTAATTCCTCCCATGAGATGTCTTGTTAATATTGACTGTCAGCTTGACAGAGTCTAGAACCACCCAGGGAAAAGGCCCCTAGGCACGTCTGTGAGGGAGCTTCTAAACCGGGTCCATTGAGGTGGGAAGACTCACCCTACCCATGGACAGCATCACTCCATGCTGGGATCCTGGACTGAGTAAAATAAGGAACTTGAGCTGAACCATCTCTGCTTCCTGACTGCAGATGTATTGTGACCAACTGTTTCGCGCTCATACCGACATGGCCTTCCTTGTCATGACTGACTGTACCCTCAAACTGGGAACCAAAATAAATCCTGCCTTCTGTTAAGTTGCGTTTGTCAGTTATAATATTTTGTCTTGGCATATAAAGGCAATATGTGTCCTTCACACATTTTGATGTCTGGACAATCGTATTCACCCAGGACTCTGTTTGTACCTCCTGCAGGCAGATATCCTTCATCAAACCCTTCACTGCCTCAAGTGTTCTCTGTCTCTCACAACAGCCCATGAATTTTCCACATTTCACCACTCACTGTCTCATATTTAAATCATCAATTTTTGTGTTCACCTCCCCCATCAACAGTCTAAGTTGAGAGACACTGGAACAACTCACAGCTATATTTGTAGCCTCCTACTTAAAATCAATAAGAAGCACAGAGTATTTATATATTTTTATTATTTAAATGAACTAACCTGTCTTTCTTCTGGTTGGATATGTTCCAAAGCCCTGCCACTTTGAGCCATTTATCACAGAAGGTGAAGGTTCCCTTGGAGCCAGCTGTAAAGTTCCCAGAGCACTAATAACCCACGGCCATTTCACTACATCAGGCTGTCCTGGATCGGCACCCCCAAACTCAACATCTAGGGTTGGAACAGGAGAACAATGAAAATCTCCAGGCCCAGGTGCCTAATCCTTTCGTTTATCCTCTTCTGTGGGCTGGTCTCAGAAGTTACAGCAGATGTTGAAGAAGCCTCAGGTAAAAAAAAAAAAGGGGGGGTGGACAGTTGCTCCATAAGGAAGCATGTCATAAAGAGAAGAGAGAGGAATATGAAAATACTCTGGGTATTTTCATTCAAACCTAGAAATTTTTCCAGAAGTTTCTGAGTAAGGACGTGTGTTGCCAAGCATCTACCCCTCTTACTGCAGATGGTCTCCACACTACCCGGGAACCCATATGGCTCACAGACGTCTCAGCCACTGAGGAACTCATCAATGCCGCTGAAGTGGCCATCATCGGCTTCTTCCAGGTTTGCACATACACCCTACCTGCTATTCCCTAGGGTCAGGCATGTTCTGCCTTAGGGTAGCCATGATAGTGGCCTGTTGGGCTAGTGATGTTGATTTAGAAGCAAGAACGCTCAGATTCTGCCTTCAGCTGGTCATCTGAGGCCCCTTCATTTCAAAACAGTCTGCCCTCTACATCGGGTCTTCCTTGGACCTGCTTCAGGATCTCTGAGTCCCGTGGCGGTGTCTCCTTATCTATGGGCGCTTTGAAAGAAAGTGTCTGCAGGAAGTCAGCTTCCATCATTCCTCATCATTGTCCTAAATAGCCTCAGCCTGTAGTGATTGCAAATGCACTATTTAAATTTATTTTTTATTATGTATTTCAGATAAGGTCTCATAACTCAGGCTGGCCTGGAACTCTCTATGTAGCTCATACTTCCCTCAAACCCACAATCCTCCTGCCTCAGCCTCCTGAGCAGTGGGATAATGGGAATATGCCATAATGGGACTAGCCAAAAGGATAGGCTAACTCTATTTTTTATGACCTGGAAACACTTTTCACAGGCTGTGCTAAAGCAACTAGGTAGACTCTTGTTGATCTTTCTCACCCTCTCTGAACACTGAGGAAGGTGAAGTGGTCACTGACAGCTTCCACAGTGGCTGTTGGGTAGTACAGACCATTGGAAACAAGAGGGTCTCATTCCAGGCTCTCCCTCTGTCTCCGCTGAGACCGCCTCTCAGTCCTCACAGCTAACCCAGTCCCTGTTCTCTTACCTCAGACCTTCTTGTACACTTCCCTCCCTTGATTCTAACTCACATCACCCTGTCCATTCTGGGCACAAGGCTGGAAATAGTGATGGGTGCTAATGGGAGAGGAAAACGGGTTTTGGTGATGGGCAGAAAGGGAAGAGACTAGAAGGGTGCATTAACACAAACAGCCACCAGATGACGCCATTGGGTCCTTGAGTGATTCTATTCAAAAGAACAGATTACAAACCAACAGATATCCACAACTTCTAAGTGAATAACCCTCTTCCTTTCAAAAGAGCGAGTTGCCAACTCTGTCTTGTTGATCCCAAATGCAAGAATAGCAATCTTTCCTTCTCTTTGCACATGCCCTTTAGTTCAGTGAGATGCAGGGAAAACAGGCTGACTACCTGGAGCGTCTGTGGACAAGCATCCTAACACAGCATGGAAAACAGGGCCAGTGTCTGTGGGAGGACAGCTGCCACCACTGATGAGTGGCTGTTTGGGTCCCTAAGTGCATGCCTGGGATGCCGTAGATGCATGAGCCAGGAAGTACCTTCATGCACAAACTGGAGGACCCCTGGAAGGAGAGGACCTGATCCTCAGCCCCCTGCACATGTCCAGTGACTACGCTAAGCACCTGTTTCTTTATTTTGCATTGCCCTGTCCCTCCACGAATTGTTCCCAAAACATTTGCCTCCCTGGATGTATGAGTGACTGTACAGCCCAACTTCACAGACCTCTGGACGCCAAGACTTCCCTCAGCTACTATAGAATTCAGGCTGTATGATAGGGCCACACAAAAGAACCCAGGTTTAGACATAATTTTCATAATCACCTATAAACTCACACAGCCTGGGAAACTCAAAAACGCCACTGCAAGTGTAGCCTGCAAGTGTAAGGATGACTTTCGTTTGCTAGACTAAAACCCGGAACTGCTGGCATGAGCACGTTTGCCTGCCATGTTTCTTCTCTCACAAATGACCTCTGGATTTCTCTCTCTCTCTCTCTCTCTCTCTCTCTCTCTCTCTCTCTCTCTCTCTCTCTCTCTCTCACTCACCATTGTTGTTTGTTTCTTTTTGTTGTTTTTAGGATTTAGAAATACCTATAGTGTCCGTATTCCGCAGCATGACACAACAGTTCCAAGACATATCATTTGGAATCAGCAACAGTTCTGAACTTCTGACCCACTACAACATCACCAGAAACAGCATCTGCCTCTTCCGACAGGTAAGCTAGGTGGGCAGCTCCAGCCTACTCCTAGATTTTCCTTGTGAGGCAGGAAAGAACCCTATGTCCTTAACACCACCACTGGTGCCAAGTTCAGGGACACTGCTGACAAGGACAGTGACTCAATTCAGTGTAGAAAACAGGGCTGAGGTGTACAGAGAACGGCAATGCAGAGCTAAGATGTGGGACTAATGTAAAGGCTAGGTCCCTGACCAGGCAAAGGGGCAGTGAGCCACTTAGCATTTACTAGCTTTAGTTCTTACATCTATAAAATGAAATGCATGGCTATATTATCTCTACAGTCATGTTGAGCACTGAAGTTATACACACACACACACACACACACACACACACACACACACACAGGGCAGGGGGGCAAGGCAGACAGACACACAGAGAGAAAAAACAGGAGTTTTATAAATACAGGCGTGTGTGACAAGTTTCCATGTAGCTCAGGATGGCCACTTGATACATAGATGAGGATTACCTTAGACTTCTGATCCTCCACTTCCCAAATACTGAAATTACAGGCATGTGCCATCATGCCCTATTTATGCCTCGCAGGGAAACCAAACCCAGGGCTTCATGTGTACTAGGCAAGCACACTACCAAGCCCCACAATTTTATAATTTTGTATGTTGAGAAGTTGACCTATGTTTATCAAACATTTTACTAGACAACTCATGTGTGAAGTACTGATAATAGTAACATTGAATATACTCTCTGTTCTCATAGAACTTAAAATGTAGCAAAAATTATAACCAATATACTATTAGAAAACATCACTATAAACCTGGGTGATGTGGTGCACACCCTTAACCTCAGCACTCAGGAGGCAAAGACAGGCAGGCAGTTACCTGTGAGTTAGAGACCAGCCTGGTCTACATAGTGAGTTCTAGGACAGCCAGAGCTACATAATGAAACTCTGTCTCAAAAAACAAAAAAAAAAATTAGAAAACATTACTATAGATAAAATGTTATGGGAATGAAAATAGTGTGGAAATTTAGAAAAATAATACAAAAGAAACAATTAAACTGGAAAGTATATGCTAAAGTTGGCCACTCTAATGGAGAATCATGGTCAAAGGAGGAAACGAAATGTAGATAGGAATCAGTGATGCCAACTTGACTGGATCCCAAAGCACATGTTACAGGCAAAGGAGCATAAGACAGGGAAGTTTCATTAGAACATATCTGTGCTCAAAGCACAGTACCAGTGTCCTGGGTTTACACTTAATTTAACTGGCACCAGAAAGCTCCCCAAAGCATTTGGATCGGGAGAGTAATGTGGACAGAAATGAGATTTAGCAAGATTATTTTGGAAACAATAAGATGGATTATTAGACAGAGATGTGGGAAGCAATAACTCCTGCTAGCTAAGCAAAATAGACTGTGAAACTCATCAAGAGTCTGTGGGGGATGGAGAGGTGGCCCAGAGGTTAAGAGCACTGAATGCTCTTGCAGAGGACCAGGGTTTGATTCCCAGCATCCATTTGGCAGCTCCCAACTCTAGTTCCAGCTTATCCAACTCCTTCTCACCTCCTCAGACACCAGGCATGCATATGGTGCACATACATGTAGGCAAAATAGCCACATACATAATTTAATGAGGTAGAAAGGGTCTGCTGTGGAGAAGCAGTGACAGAAATGAGAAAAAGGATGATCTGCCTAGCTTGGTGATGCAGCACTGTGGTCCCAGGACTCAGGAGTGTGAGGCAGGAGGACCGGGAGTTCAGGAGTTCAATGTCAGCCCCAAAAAGGGGCTGAGCAGACCTAACCGTAGCGTGAACTCTGCTTACAATGTACTCTTTATGAAGCCCTGGTGGTGACTCTTCGAAGACCCTTCCCAGCATCTGTTTTATGTTGACCACTAGTGACAGCCCTGCTCCGAGAAAAGCCTTGGGTCTTCGGTGGACAAAATTTATGTGCCATGCCAGCAAACAAACGGGCTGGTTTTGTGCCACTTCATTGGCAGCGCTGGGAAAGGTTGGAGATTGTTCAGGCCAGCTGTTCCATAAACACTTTTTCTCGGTTTACATTTTCAAACTTTGGGACATATTTTAATAGGATCATTGTTCAGGAGTCAGAATAACTTTAGTAAAGAAAAATTGAGACCATTTTATTTTACATTGGGAAATATGAGCCATTTGCACGCTTTCTGGAACCTCCTTTTAACTTAGACCCACATTTTATTATTTGCAGCTTTCCACAATTTGTTTATTTTCATGTCTGTCTGTCTGTCTGTCCATCTGCCTGTATGTGTCTCTGTGTGTAGGACTGTGTCTGTTTGTATCTAATCTATGATAGGCACTATTATAATTCTCACAAAATTTGAAGAAAAGAATAATAATCCTGCCAGACAGTGGCGGGTGCATGCGTTTAATCCCAGCACTCAGGAGGCAGAGGCAGGCAGGTAGATCTCTGTGAGTTCAAGGCCAGCCTGGTCTACAAACTAAGTTCTGGGATAGTCAGAGCTGTTACACAGAGAAACCTTGTCTCAAAAAAAAATCAACAAAGAAAGAAAGAAAGAAAGAAGGAAGGAAGGAAGGAAGGAAGGAAGGAAGGAAGGAAGGAAGGAAGGAAGGAAGAAAGAAAGAAAGAAAGAAAGAAAGAAAGAAAGAAAGAAAGAAAGAAAGAAAGAAGAAGAAAGAATATTATCCCTGAATTTTCAATAAGAAAACTAAAGTTCCAGTAGATTGAGCCAACTCTCCAAAGTTTCACAACTGCCAAGTACTGCCTGACTCCATGCTCAACCTCCCCTTTCTTCTGTGCTATAACGGCTCTCTAAAGCACTCAAGGAAATTCTTTTTAAAACTAATTTAATGATTCTTTTAAATTTACACATGTGTCTCTGTGTGTCTGTGCATCTGTATGTATTTGTATGTTCTTTTGGGTGCTGCAGAGGCCAGAAGAGGGCGTCAGAGCCACTGGAGCTGGGGGTATAGGCAGTTATGAACCACCTACAATGGGTGTTGAATCTGAATTCAGGTCCTCTGCAAGAGCCCCAAGCGTTCTTAATGCCTGAGCCATTTCTCCAGCCCCCAAAGAAAATCTCTATCATTTCTAGGTTGTATTTATTTAGTGTTTCTCATTCTGAAGTCTACATTTCAAAAACTTTATCACAAACCACTTCCCTTAGCCCCTGGCATTAATTAAACCCCAGGATTATATCTCAGAATTTAATCTAGATACTATATAGTTTGGTAGCAAAATTCCAGAATTTAGAGTTACTTTTTTGCAACAGTAAGAATATAGTTAAAGGTATGATGAAATAATAATTACGTAAAAATACACTGACTCATTATTATCGGGCCAGCGAAAGCTGTGTTTGTGGACCGTCGGGGTTTCTATTGCTCTGATGAAACAATAAGACCAAAACTAACTTGGGGAGGAAAGGGTTTATTTCTTCTTACATCTCCCAGGTTACCCTCTAGCACAGAGAGAAGTCAGGGCAGGCTCAAGGCAGGAACCTGGAGGCAGGAGCTGAAGCAGAGGCCATGGAGGAGTGCTGGTTCCTGGCTTGTTCTTCATGGCTTGCTCAGCTTGCTTTCTTATGTACTCAGCCCACCAGCCTGAGGGAGATACCGTTTTACGGAGGCCTAGGCCCCCCACCATCAATCATTAACCAAGAGAATGCCTAACGGTCTTGCCTGTAGGCCAATCTTAAGGAGTCTTCTTTCCAACTGACTCTCGCTTGTGTCGGGTTGACAAACACTAACCAACACAATTGACTCCTTGTCAACTTGACACACAAATACATCACTCTTCAACTGTTGCCTTTGGTTCTTGTTCATCCTCAAAATCTCATATTAATATCACAAAATAAAGCATAAAGAGCTTTGAAAGTCCCAGTCTTTACAATTTCAAACACTTCCAGACTTTAGTCTCTTTAAAAGTTCAAAATCTCTTAAAAGAACCAAAGTCCCTCTAATATTCTAAAGTCTATGGGCTCCTGTTTAAAAAAAAAAAATTTAAAAGTTAAATATTTTTCTACTCCAAGAGGTAAGAACTGGGGCACAGCCACAATCAAATCAAAGGAAAACCAGACTTCAACAATATCAGTCACACACTGTCCGTGTCTGGAACTCACAATCTTCCAGACTCCAGAGGTCTTGGGAAGCTCCAGTTTTCTCAGGCTCTGTCAGTCATGGCACACATAGCTTGTCTGGGAGGCTCAAACTGGTGCCACTCCACATCTACCACTGTACTTGGCGGTCATCACACAGTCCTGGTATCTCAAATACGTTGGGGTCTCCACTGCAGCAGAGACTGAATCTTCACCAGGGGACTCTGTGGTCGTTTGAATAAAAATGGCCCCCATAGGCCCATAGGGAATGGCACTACTAGGAAGTATGACCTTCTTGGAGGAAGTGTCTCATTGGGGGCAGACTTTGTGATTCAGATGTTCAACCCACAACCAGTGTAGCATCCTCTTCCTGCTGCCTGCTCATCCAGATGTAGAATTCTCAGCTCCTTCTCCAGCACATGTCTGCCGGCATACCACCATGTTTCTTGCCATGATGATAATGGACTAAACCTCTGAAACTGTAAGCCAGCCCCAATTAAATGTTTTCCTTTACAGGAGTTGCCATGGTCATGGTGTCTCTTCACAGCAATAGAACCCTACCTATATAGCCTCTCCTGGCCTCTCTACAGAGACTTTAACCTGTCCCACATTGCCAAGCCCCCAGTTTCTCTCCATGACCCCTTCATTCTGCCAAAACCAGTAACACGTGGAAGTAACATTTTTACATAATACCAAGTTCAGTAGCCAACAAGAAGTGCAGTCTTGGCCCCTGTGAAATGAATGTGTACAAATAAACTAGTAAATGAGAAAAACAACATGTCAAATTATCAAAACACTTTTGTAAAGTATGCATTTAGCGGGGCATGGTAGTGCACACCTATAATGCTGCCCCTTAGGAGACTGACAGAAGGAACCAGAGTTAAGGTCATCCTTGGCTACACAGCAAATTTAAAGCCATCCTGGGCTACAGGAGACACTGTCTCAAAACAAACAAAAGTATATACGTGTGTGTATGTGTGTGTGTGTGTGTGTGTGTGTGTGTGTGTGTGTGTGTGTGTGTGTATGTGTAAAAATACATGGCAGCTGAGCATATATATCATATATACACATATAAAATCAGAGACATGAGGGAATTGTTGAACAAATCCTTTCTCAGTGCTACCCAAGTTGCTTTATGACTGTAGTGTAAACTAAGACCAACAGGGCGTGGTGGTACATGCCTGTAATTCCAATACTAGGGAGGTGAAGCAGGGAGGGCCTCGTGATTCAGATTCATCTTTGGCTACATTGAAGACCAATAACGAGCCTCACTTCATGAAATCCTGACTGAAAAAAATAAGTAAAACAAGAGAGAACATAAATAAACTGAGCCATAATGATTTTTCTGAAATGATTGTTAGAAAGCTCGCAGGAATGCCAAGAAGTACCCTCAGAGCAAAGAACAGAACATGCTGGGGTCTCTACATGCGCAGTGTCCAAAACACTTGAGCTTGTGGCCCTTCCAGAAGGCTCTTTTCGGCTTTTGTTGTCTCTGTTCCTGGGAAGGGTATCTTAAGTAAAATTCCTTCCAAACACTCAAAAAAATAGATGTTTCAAAAACGTTCCCAAAGTCTTGTTCTGGAGTAGAACTTTCTCTCCAGTGCATTATGCAAATGATCCCCTTGACGGAAAGCAGACTTCCTGTTCAAGACTTGCCTCCAGGAGCCCTACACACAAATGCTCCTGAGTTTATTAGTTTAGGAAATAATGAAATAGTCGGGTATGTTTCTTTGGAAGAACTTGAGAGGCTGTAGAGGAGGGGGCAGTTTACCAAAGTGCTCTCACCGCCCAGGAAGGAACTTTATCCCTGCTGCACACCAGGGAGGGGGCGGTTTTCCAAAGCGCTCTCACTGCCCAGGGAAGGAACTTTACCCCTGCTGCACACTCTTGTCCTTCCTCTGCCTTCCTGAGTCCAGAAATCCACCTGGAGTTCTTGGCGCTTCAGTTCTCCAATTCTGGGAAACCTGAGGAACTGCCTGGAAACCGGCGGGAGGGCGGGGCCTCCTGCACACAGGAGCCAGGCGTCTATGTCCTAGAAAAATAATCTTCAAGCATTTGGACACACTCAGTATTAAGAGGGCCTTGATTATTATGATGATGATGATTTGAGTGTTTGCAATAGCAGAGTCCTAAGTGTGACATATTGTGCCAGCTGGCAAGCTCCTCCAAGAGCAGTAGAGAAGATTCAAGAGAACAGCTCTCTCTCCCTCCCTCCCTCCGTCCCCCCTCTCTCTCTCCCCCTTCTCTCCCCCCTCTTTTACCCCTCTCTCCTCCTTTCGTGTGTGTGTGTGTGTGTGTGTGTGTGTGTGTATCTGTCTGTCTGTCTGTCTGCCTGTCTTTGTGAATATGTCCGTATGTCTGTCTGTGTGTGGAACAGGTGCTGGCAGATTCAGCAGAGTGCCCCATCTCCTTGGAGCTGGACTTGTAAACTGTTGCGGGTCACCCAACCGGGGGTACTGAGAGCTGAATTCAGACCCTCCGAAAGAGCAGCAAGTTCTCCTAGCCACTCTCTAAGCCCCTGTTTGCGTTCTGATTCTTTAAGACAAGGTCTTGTTCTATTGCCCAGGAGGGCCTACAACTTCCCATGTAGCCCAGACTGCCTTGAACTCCTGGCAATCCTCCTGCCTGGTCTTCTAAGTGCTGGGATTAAAGACATGAACCCCCATAGCAGCCTTCTACTTATTTAATGGTTTGGTAAGAATATTGGGAATATAAAGCTGAATGACACTTTTTCTGTTGTTCCTACATCTTTTTCTCAATGTTCCTACTGAGTGTTTTGGATTTTAACACAATTGTTTTTGTACCGGGTGGCTTTACCCACTTCAATCTCACTGTGCAGCATCAGTACCTTGAGTTTCTGATCATCCTGCCTCTCCTTCCAGAATGCTAGGGTTACAAGAATCAACATGTCTGTTTCCTACAGTGCTGGAGATCAGACCAAGGGCTTCCTGCAAGCTGGGCAAGCCTTCTACCAACTGGTCTACCCATCTCCAGCCCCATTTCTGTGTGTTTGCTGCTGGGAATTGAACGTAGGAGCTCACACATACTAAGAAAGCACGTGCTCTACCACTGAGCTATATTGACAGCCAGTACTTTACGTTTTAAAATATCCAGTGATTTGGGTGATTTTCCCAAAAAAATTCTAATTTAGAAGTACATTTCTATACTTTGACATTTATTATTTCATAAGTTTAATTTGCTTAAGATAATCTTTTAAGTTTTTTTTTTAGTTTTCTATCTTTGTATGTATGTTCTAATGTTCAATGGGGAGATGTAAATGCCAACTAATATTAGATTCTGGTAACTTAAAAGCTATGTGTTACATAATGGCAGTCTTTAAAGGGATAAACAAAGCTTGAGCAACTTCCCAACCAAAGGAAGAAAAAAAGGAAGAATTGGAAGTAACTAAGTGAAAAATAAGCCAGAGGTTAAGAAAATGGAATTCAGAACAGCTGCACTGGTGGAAAACGCATAATTTAGTATATCAGTGAACTATATTACACAAAAATAGCCCTTAAGAGATGAGTAGAGAAAAATGCCCCCGAGGATAGGAAACTTACTTCCTGTCTTTGGAGCTGTGTTCAGAGCCTGTCACATCCTCATCATCAGATGTCATTGACCAACAATCTCAGAGATGCTGCAGGGGTCGCTCGGCCCTTCATTGCGTCTTGTTTCTTTTCTCCAGGTTGATAATGAAAAATTGCATTTGGATGCTGAAGACATTGAGAACTTAGATGCCGCCAAGCTGAGCCGTTTCATTCAGATGAACAGCCTCCACTGGGTGACGGAATACAGCCCTCTGGTAAACACTGACCCCTGTGATGAGTCCTTTTGCTTCCTGTGTGATGGAGGGTCCTTGCCCCCACAGCAGAGATGTTCTCGCCACTGTTAGTAACTGTCCCTCACTGAACACCTGGCACATTGTTTATGTTAATATCCTTACTAACCCTTTAAGATTGATCGGTTTGTCCTTTCCTACTCAACAAAGAAAGAAATAGACCAATACCACAATTTGTAAGAAAAAAGCCCAAAATGCAAAGCTAAGGTACCTGGATCAGAACCTTCGGAATCTGGAGTCTTGCTGTGTGAGTGTGCTCTGTGAAGGTCATTGACTCTGAGACAGTCACTAAATCGCCTTTCTCAAGCTATGACCAAGAAGGCTGTTTTTATTTGTTGCTTTTCTTGCTGCTGCTGCTGCTGCTACAAAGGCAACTTAAGTAAGGAGGGGTTTGTTTTGGCTCACAGTTTGAGGGGACACAGTCCATCATAATGAGAAGGTGTGTAGGCAGGAATGTAAAAGAGCTGGTCACAGTGCATCCATAGCCAAGAAGCAGAGAGATAGTTACTGGTCCTCAGATCACTTTCTCCTTGTTTTACTTTTTATTCTATCCAGGACTGAAGCCCATTGGCTTGTTCTACCCTGGTTTGTTCTACCCACTTTCATGGTGGCTCTTCTTTCTTCAAACCCCTCTGGAAATGCCCTCAAGACATGACCAGAAGTGTGTCTCCTAGGTGTCTCTAAATCCAATCAAGTTGACACTCAAGAGTAACCATCATAGCTTTCTTTACCTAGAGACTGACTCTTGTCTCTGTTGTGTCCACAGAACTGCATGTGAACTCAGAAAAGATGGCCCAGTGTTTCCTGTGCACATGACCCTGGTGTCATAGTTTCCTAGATGCTAGCCAAGCAGTACAAGGACACATCTTCCTAAGCTCTTAGAACTAGCCCAGCTCTCAGCTTACAAAGTAGCTTTGTGTCTTTTTCAAATTTCAAATTATCAGGGACAGCAAAACACTTCAAGAGAAAGCCAGGAAAGAACCTCTTTAGAGAAGCATGTTTAATTTTTCTTAGGACTTTCACATCTCAGAAGTAGTCCCTTCTCATTTGGAGAGCTGCCCCCTCAACAACCAGCCATGCCCTGGTCCTGCATGTACATTTAATGTACACACTCTGTGTGGCTTTGCTGTGCAAACCAGGCTGTGTCTGATGAGATTAAACCAGCTACTTCTGCACTCTCATTCCTTCTGTAGAGATGGCTCTGCCTCTGACTCCTTAGCTCTTGTCTCTCCACTCTTCCCAAGAATCCTCTCTGCTTTACAAGTGTGGACGCCACTCTGAACTTAAGTAGCATGAATCTGTTACTCTAACCACAAAGACTGTTATAAGAAGAATCAATTATTTACCACCCCGTGTCCCTAATGTAAACTGAACCTGTTGTTGAAGTCCAACACCAGGCCTTTAGGAAATACTTCATCTGACCACACTTGCCTTGGCTGCAGTCCCTCTGTGGCCAGCTCACACGCTTCCTTGGGGTCAGCCAGTAGGCATGGAGTGCCTGGATGTTTCTGGACATCTGGATCTCTGGACAGATTGCAGGCATTTGCCAGGCTGATGTCATCTGCAGGCTCCACCAGTGCTGAAGAAACTTGTTGGAAGAAGGTTCACTCTTGTGGCCAGCAACCTGTTCCTCTTGCTGCTGTATAAATCCATCCTTAGGGCTGCTGTAACCATACAAATCCAGCCTTAGGGCTCCCTGACAGCCTCATGCTGGACTGGCTGTCCCTAGAATAAAGGGTGTAACAAAGAGTTATATATTTTATGGCCTAACCTTGGACTTTCCATCAAGTCCACAATGTCCTCTTAGCTACTCAGTTTGGTTATATTTAGTGAGGGGCAGAGGATCTACACAGCTACCAAAAACTGGATGGTTGTACCCAGTTTTAAGATGCATTTTCATTATTTTTAACACTATGCATGTTGTTTATCTCTTTGTTGGTATGTGCACCATATGCATGCAGGTGCCTGCAGAAGCCAGAAGAGGGTGTCAAATCCCCTGAAGCTGGAATTAAAGCCAGTTGTGAGCCACCCAGCATGGGTGTTAGAAGCTGAACTTAGGCCCTGTGCAAGGATAGTACAGGATCTTACCCCCTGAGCTGTCTCCCCAGCCCCCAAATGATTGTACTTTTTTTAAAAAAAGATATTAGTATTTATTTTATGTATGTGTGTATGTGCTTGAGTAAATGTATGTGCACCACATATGTGCATGAGCCAGAGGATACCAGAAAAGGGTATTAGATCCTCTGGAACTGAAGTTACAGACAGTTGTCAGCCACCATTTGGGTGCTGGAATGTCCTCTACAAGAAGGATTAAAGTGCTCTTAACCCATGAGCCATCTCTCCAATATCCAGTTAATTTTACTTGTTAAAAATATTTTTATTTATTATTTGATAATTCTATACATGTATACAAGGTGTTTTGACCACATTTAAGGTGGTGAAACTTAAGAGCATCTTAGAGGTTATTTGCCTTTGTATTATTCTGTTCATTGCATTGGCATATCTCTGTCTCTCTGTCTCTCTGTCTCTGTCTCTCTCTTTCCCCCTCCTTCTCCCTTCTCCTATCCTTCTTCTTCTTTTTTTTTTTTTTTTTTTTGGTTTTTCGAGACAGGGTTTCTCTGTGTAGCTTTGCGCCTTTCCTGGGACTCACTTGGTAGCCCAGGCTGGCCTTGAACTCACAGAGATCTGCCTGGCTCTGCCTCCCAAGTGCTGGGATTAAAGGCGTGTGCCACCACCGCCCGGCTTCCTATCCTTCTTCTATAACACATTTTAATTTTCCAGATTGCAGCTGGCTTGTTTAGCACTATGATTCAGACTCATCTTCTCCTGATGATGAACAAGGCTTCCCCAGAGTATGAAGAGAGTGTGCTGAGATACCGGAAGGCAGCTAAGCTCTTCCAGGGACAGGTGAGTTGGGAATGGTCCCCACCAGAGGAAGATGGCGTTAGAGAGAAGGACTATAGTATGGTTTCAAGGGTATGAAGTAAGGAGTGGGAGGTAAGAAGTGAAAATTTTTGAAATTAAAGAAACTTTCTTTTGCAATATTAAGACCCCAGTGATCAGTGTTCCTTCCAGCTGTGGCTATGTGGCTGTCTGTCTGTTTCACACTGACATGTGAGGAGACAGTAAGTATAAATATGCTGAAGCCAAATCACCTAGTCAGAATTTGTTTACTCATCATACCCTCTGAAGGCTGGGACAGACAGCAGGGACTACTCCTCACATGAGTACCTACAAAACACCTGGTGCCTACCTCAAGCGCACCATGATCTTGTATCTGCCTCCCTCCCTCCTGGGTGCAGTTCTGCTTGAGGTCTCTGAAACAATCATGCTCATCTACCCCTGCATTGCAGAAGTCAACCAGAAACCTTTTTAATGAAAGCCATCACATAAGCTGTCTTGGGGAGGACTGGTCCCCTGACATGGGGATCACTGAGTGTTCCTGAATACAGACAATCCTCTGCTCAGAAGACCTCAAGGATTTTCACTTTGGGTAGACTTGACTTAATAAACAGCCCATCTTCTCCTCCCCTCCCCAGCTCATTATGGTCTCATTTTCTACATTTCAGTTACCCACTCACCCATGGACTCAAAGTAATAAATGGCGAATTCCAGAAGTAAACAATCCATGTGCTTCAAAGAGCTTTCACTGTCACATATTAGTACAATGGTTTTGTTTTGTTACCAGCTGCTATATTCAAAGTTTGTACATAGAGCAAGGAAGAGCACTATCCCTGACTCTGGGGAGCCACTGTGGTGGGGGGTTCTTACTATGTACCACAATTACTGAAGGTAACATCTCCTTTCTTCTCTGCCCCCACCGGAAATTTTACAAATAAGAAAACTGAGTCTCAGAGAAACTAAGTTGCAAATCACACAGCTAAGAAGACAGCTGCATACTTCACCTCATTCTCTGCCTTTAATCATTAGGCTATACTTCGTTGCTTAGGGAATCATCAATATGTCTTCAAAGTCCAAATTCTTTTTTAAAAGATTGTCTTTATCTTTAATGGGAGGCAGAGGGGGTGGGGGGAGGGTGTAAAAATGCCCAGAGAGACTGTAAGAGTGTTGGATCTCCTGAAGCTAGAGTTACAGGGGGTTTTGAACTACCTGGTTTGGTATGCTAAGAGCCTAATTCTTAACCTCTTAGCCATCTCTCCAACCCCAAATTCCATTTTTTTAATTTTTTTTTGTTGTTTGTTTGTTTGTTTTGTTTTTGTTTGTTTTGGTTTGGTTTGGTTTAGTTTGGTTTGCTTTCTCTAGACAGGGTTTCTCTTTGTAACAGCCCTGGGTGTCCTGGAATTTGCTTTGTAGACCAGGCTGGCCTCAAACTCACAGAGACTGGCCTGCCTCTGACTCCCAAGTGCTAGGATTAAAAGCATGCACCACTGTGCCCAGTCAAAAATATGTAGCTAAGGCTGGCCTTGAACTCATGATCCTCCTGCTTCCTCTTCCTTCAGCAAATCCTACCGGCGTGTGCCACCACAACTGGCCAAAATTCTTGTAGTTAAATTTGACTAGAGGGATAAAATACCAAAGCAACAAAAATAAATTTCAAATTCATTTAAATTTAATCAAGATGTGTTTGAAGGGGGTTGTTCTTATATAGCCCAGGCTAGCCTCAAACTTGCTGACTGGCTGTAATTAAATGTGACTTTGAACTCCTGGTCCTCCTACCTCTGCCTCCCAGGTGCTAGAATTACAAGTGTGCTCCATCTTACCAGGCTTTAATGAATTCAGTCTGTGTAGTGACAGAGACTACTGGCATCTCTTTGTCCCCTGGCTCTCAGCGGGACCTTTTCCTTTAACCCCTTCCCATCTACAGATCCTCTTTGTTCTGGTGGACAGCGGCAGAGGGGAAAACAGAAAGGTGATCTCCTATTTCAAACTGAAGGAGTCTCAGCTGCCGGCTTTGGCCATTTATGAAACTGTGGATGACAAGTGGGACACACTGCCCATCACAGAAGTTACAGTGGAGAAAGTCCGAGACTTCTGCGATGGATTCCAAAAGGGGGTGCTGCTGGTGAGTGTGGGGCTTCAGGTAAAGCGATCACTTGTTGCTCTGCTCTGTGCATTTCCTTTCAGAGCAGGGTGACTTTGAGCAGATAGTTAACGGGACACCATTAGCTAGAGACAGTCATTTGCAAAGGGTTTGTATACGAAAACTCGACTTGGGATTTCTCCATTTTCTATTCAGGGACCAAGGGGAAATAACCTAAATCTTATATAAAGAGCTCATGCATGAGGTGTGGTGTGGCTCATGCCAGGTACTCTGGAGACTGAGGTGGGTAGATTGCCACAGTGAATCCAGCTTGGGGTACATAATAAGTTTAAGTCCAGCCCAAGCTGCATAGTGAGACCTCTTCAAAAAATAAAACAAAACAAAACAAAACAAAAAAACAGCATCAACAACAGAAGGGCTCAGCAGTTCAAAGTAAAGGTGGACTTAAGGTTTTTTTTCAAGAGTAATCAAGTCTGTTCTCTAAGTTCAGCATCATTGTGTTTTTCAGAGAGATCACAAAGCAGAAGAAGATGCTGGGAAGGAGGAACTCTGAGGCTCCCTGGTACATGTGTCTATTCCGTGCTGAATAAAAAGGAGCAGTTCGAATCTCTGCAGCAGTAAACACGGTCATCCCATCCGGTGTTCTAACAAGGGGCGGGAGGATGGCCATGCTCCCTTTGTGTCTGAGCGTCTCCCTTTCTTGCCTCTTTTGTTTTCAAATTCCCATCCTCTCTCACACAGCCTAGATTCCTACATGAGTGAGTACTGAGGAAGAGGGGCTTCAGAAACTGGGCATCTCTGTGAAGGAGAAGCATTCCTAGAGAGAGGCTGTTCCTGTGCGTCACTAACATTTTAATTGGTACCCGGCACACGGCTCACACAGTAGTTCCTTTTCCTTTGGGGTCATCTGAGGATAGAAACCTCACCCTCCTTCATAAGCACATATCCTTCTCTGACTTGGGGCCAAGAACAAAAACATGTTTTGAGTTTATTTCTCTCCAAAAGTTCGACGATGTCTCCAAGATTCTGAACACGTCAGAAACAGAGCATGTCAAAAGCTACACTCATTTAGTGATTGCAGCTCCCCGTGTAAATCAGCAACCCGTGGAATAAATAAAATCCAACACTGCTAAAGGAAGAGTGGCATCTCTCTGCAAGCCAAACCCTTTGGAGGGAACCCAGCTGCCCAGCTCAGCAGTACATGCCCCGCCCTCCAGGGCTGTTTCCTTTTAGGTCAGGACCCACTGATATGTTGTTCCCTGTGTGGGTGAGATCCCATCCATCCTGCGTGAGGACTGATACAAATGTGGTAAAGGAGCCAGGAAGTCAATTAGGTAAAAGGTGAGGGAAAGAAAGAAGTTGGGGGCATTTGGCGCCAGGGCACGCTGGGACTAACCACGGTTACTGCCAGTAAGGTGTGCGGTCCAGCCCGCGGGATGCAGGGGAGTTTGACTGTGGGTCGCTGGCCCACAGGCTGTTACTGTGGACACACAGATGCTACATTGTCACAGCCTTCCCGCCCCCTCCAGGTCCTTGGCTCTAAAGAAAAGGGTCTAAGTGCTGAAGAGCTGAAAAACCACAGATGAGCAGAAAGACGGCTCCGGGCGAGGGACAAGGAGTGAAAGGGTTGCTTGTTCCTTTCTGTGGGCTAACCCCATGGCCCCTGGGCGTGGTCAGTGGCTGGAAAGGAGACTGTGAAAGCAGCTCTTGCAGTAACACAGGAACCAGGAGCTTGAGGGGTCACCGGGTCTATCCCAGGGCTGCACAGTCACAGGAGCACGCAACAGGCTCATCTCAGAATGCTTCCTGGACATTTTGACATTTTGACATTTCCACTCAGGAATTATTTCTGACGGATGATCCCCTGCTGAGTGAGGTTTCCCAGACTCTCAGGATGCCTTTTCTTGCAACTCTGAAAATTCCTAACACCACGAAGGCAGTGGTTCTCAACCTTCCAAATGTTGTGACCCTTTAATACAGTTCCTCATGTTGTAGTGACCCCCAACTGTAAAATTATTTTTGTTGCTACTTCATAACTGTAATTTTGCTATTGTTATGAATCGTAACATAAATATCTGATGTGCAGGATATCTGATATGTGACTCCTGTGAAAGAGTCATTGCACACTCTTGTTGGGGTTGCGACCCACAGATTGAGAACCATTGACCTAAGTGCCCCTTCAACTTCATGGGGTTTTTTGTTGTGTTTTTCCTTTTTGGTTCTCTTAGGAATTGAACCTGGGGCCTTGCTCATGCGAGGTGAGTGCTCTACCACTTAGCCACACTCTCAGGCCATCTCCTGGTTACTTTTAAGCCCATTTACATGGTGTCCAGTCTTCCACACAATCCAACCTTTTACCATTTTCATTTCCAATGTATTTATCAATTGATCACTTTCGCTCTTCCCTTTTCCTCAACTTTCCCTCTTTCTTGCTTAAAATAGTAATACTTCAAGCTTTAGTAAAGCCCCCAAATTATATTATGTTTAAAAATGGGTTAATTTTACCATTTTTATCCTAACATACCCTCCGTCACATGCTGACAGTCAACACAGCCTCCATAGATATTAACAAAATCCAGTTGATTTTGCTGGTTGATGGTGTTTTGTAGCAATTTTGTCAGATATTATCTTGTATGCTTATGTTTGTGGATTTGTAGCGTTGAAATGAATTATTCCTTATGAGCTCATGGCTCTTCAAAACGGCCAGGAATTCTCCATGTCTTTGTCAGTGCTGATCCTGTTCTTTATAGCTTTGAGGACTCAAGACCAGAGAATGGAATTCCTTTAGAGAGAAGAGATTTGGGGTTATTTGTGTGTTTGTTTGAAGTCTTTGAGGTTCTCTACCTGTGTAACCAGACCCTCCTGCCTCTGCCTCCCAAGTGCTGGGATTAAAGGTGTGTGCCACCACCGCCCGGCTTGGGAGAACCACTTTTTGTCTCTGAAGGTTAATTTAAAGCTTGTTGAGGATAATAAAATAGTTTCCATACGATGTTTTGAGATTCCAGAGTGATGATGCATATCAAGGAAAGTCTGGAAACCCTGACACATCATGTCACTTCTCCAATTGTCACAGCTTACGGAAACAGAAAGGCTCATTACTGACTTCCTTAAATGAATGAGCCTTCCCAAAGGAAAGTTCTGGAGATAGCTGTCTCTAACGCCCTTTCGCTATTACTCAGCATAGTTAGGCCACCAGGTCAGAAAACAACCGCCAGTGTTAAGATTATTGGTTATGCAGCATTTGCAAGAAATAAAAGCTGACTATGCCGTGGGGGAGGGTATGCAAGGGAAGCCCCTCCAGCACATGGGTGGCAGTGTGAGCAACAGGGTGGTGTGGGCAAAAGCCTTCACAGTGCTTCCCATGAGGAAGAATTGCCTAGGAAGGGTGAGGGCGAAGGAGGGCAAAAAGCTGAGTTGAATAGTATGCCCAGGCTCACAGGCACAGGGGACTGTCCTTAGATGTCTAGAGCTTGGCTCTGGGCTGAGTAGGACAACTGTATGGTGGTTAGAACATAAGATCTCATCAGGAAGGTAGGTGGGGTAAGGACTCGCTATGAGTTAGTTTGCATCTGAAACATGAATAACAGGTGACTTGTTTGATATCTCTAGAAACTGGTTAGTCCTGGTGCCCTTGGATTCCATGATTCCAGAGTCATCCATCTCCTCAGACAAACACAGAGACTTAAGTAGGAGCTGATTTGTTGAAGCAAAGGCAGTAGCTGCTCTCTCAAGAAGGGCAGGACACCTGCCAAGCAGTCAAGTGACTCTGGTATTGGAGTAGAGAGACCTCACAAATTGAAGGAAAACTTAGGCTAATCTCATGTACATCATTGTGGAATTCCCTGAAACTTTAGAAGATATTTCTAGGATCCAGAGGAAAAGAAATGGTTTCACCAAACATGGTACTTTCTAAACCAAAACAATAGTTTTTGGTAGGCGCATGAGTTCAACCTTAGCAACCATGGAATCCACAGGTAATTCTCTGTATTAGTCAGGATTCTCAGGAGTAGCAGAACTTACAGAATATATATAAAGGAGATGTATAAGAATCACTTACAAGCTATGGTCCAACTAATCCAACAGTGGCGGGCTATGAACAGAAAGTCCAAGAATCTAGAAGTTGCTCAGTCCATGAGGCTGGATGTCTCAGCTGGTCTTCAGTAGACACTGGAACCCTGAAGAAGTAAGCCCTAATGCCAGTGAAGAAATGGACTTGCTAGCCAAGGCATGAGCAAGCAGTCAAAGAACAAAGCTTTCTTCCATGTCCCTATAGGCTTCCAGCAGGTATGGCCCAGACTAAAGATGCATCTTCCCACTTCAAGATTCAAATTAAAGACATGTGCCTTTCCTACTCAAGATCTGGATCATAGATGTGTGACTTCCTACTTCAAAGGTCCAGACTAGAAGTAGATTCACCCACTTCAAATCAAGCAAGGAATCTCTCATGTAGTCAAGATGACAACAAAGAATAGCCATCACACTCCCCCAGAGAGAAGAGCCCAGTACAACAGTAGGATATTATAAAGGACTTGGGATAAACTATATTATACATTATCCTATGCTCAGATCAGGTCACACAATCAGATTAGATTTAAAACGCATTGTTCTTGGTCTCTCTGCCTACTCAGGTTTTTAGGAAGGGAAGATTTTCTAGGACCAGTGAGGTCTCAGAAGTCAAAGCATCATAGTTATAAATTATCCTATCATTCACTTGCTGTAGAGTGCCTCTCCCAGCTCACCTCATTGGGCTGTGCCTCAAAGGAAGGCTGTGTCCATGAAATCTGTATTAATACAGATGTTTGGGTAGATGAAGGAGAGGATGTGTGTTGTACAGTATGAGAAAGTGTCATTTATTCATGTACTCAATCATTCATTTAAATATTTATTAACTAGCTATGAAGGTGCCAAGCAAGGTTGCCTCTTGAAGGAGGGAATAAGCTTGGCCTTGGATGAAGAGCCATTGAGCAGAGAACTTTCTGTTGTAGTGTAACACAGAAGCCTTCAGACTGTGTCTGGGCCATGACAGAGATCAGCAGAACAGAGAAAGCTGGAGAAAGGAGAAGAGGTATGCTGTGGGGAGCAAGGAACAGGAAGTGAGCAACGGCCCAAGGAGTCTCCAGGGATGGAGGAGGAGCCACAATGAAAAACCCACCAGAAAAGGGAGAAGGCTCCCCATGGGCAAATCACATTTCACAGCTGAATTTGGAGCCAACCCTGTTTGTTTCACCTTTCTAAAAATACCAGGTCTCTTAAGAAAAAAGTAAACAGGAAGTGGGATGGACCTGACCCCTGGTTCCTAGCTGAATAGACTTTGCATGGAAAGATGGAAACATGGAGAACATGAAAAGGTCAGGGCTAGGCTCCAGGGTCTTTGGGGATCTGAGGCCCTGGAGAAAAAGAACCATAGGGAAAAAATCAAAGAAATAAATGAGTTTTAAAAGCCTATCTACAAATATGAAACATTTAACCCTCTCCAAACTGTAAGATAAATCATTTCCTATTATGGAACCAGACTTCAGTATTATTGTGAACTTGACCATGGAAAGGTCGAGTCATGGTGGGAAGGTGTTGGGGAGAGAAGAGTTGGGCAGGGTCAGGCCACTTTTGTAGGATATAAAAAGTCGTGTGGAAGCTGCACATTAATATTTAACTCTCCAAATAATTACTCATGTCTTCATGGCATGATTCAATTTCTACATTAGACCCAGTGGTCTCGATATGGCAACATAGAGCCAGCCTAGGTTCAAGGAAGAGAAGCAGAACATATTTGACACCATTCAGGCTGTGGTGAAGTAAGAATTTCAACAATAACAAACAGCTTAGACTGCAGCTCATACTGCCCAGGAGCAGGGTAAGAGATGAAATTTCCTTGCAGGAGGTTTACTGGGGGAAGCTCCTGGGAGTTTTACTGAAATGGAAGCAGGACTGGACCAGAGGAAAACATAACAATGTCTTAGACTGTCCTATGGGGATCTTTATGCTATGGTGTCTTGTTGAACTATCCCAAGTTGGAAAATGGGGACCAGGCCTTATTACCTC